CCCCGCCCCGCCGCCCCCGCCCCCGCCACAGGCTCACCCGGAAGTGGCAGCGACTTCCGGCGCGGGAGGGCCCAGGGAAATGTAGTCGGTTGGCCTCGTTCTCGCACAAGGCCGCGCGCTGCACGCTAGGAAATGTAGTCGGACGGTTTCCCGGCGCGTGCTGTAGACGTCACTCCGGCAGTGGGTTCCTTTCGCTGTGCGCTTCTCCTCCCTGTCCGGCCCGGGGGGTTCCCGCTCGGCAGTGCAGCCACGCGCGCGCTCCGGCCGCTGCTGCGCCCCCGGGGGGTCGGGCTCCTGGAGCCGGGGTTGTGGGCACGCCGCTGTGGCGCCCGTTAACAAGCCCACGCGCCGTTAGACTTGGTGTTAAAAGTCCCTACACCCGAGCGCTGCTCGTCATGTCCTGGGCCAAGGCACCTTACTGGAAGAGCAGTGAGGCGCTGGCGGCCTCCGTGCCAAGTGCCACACCCGGTTGAAACCAGCTGAGACGACAGGTTTCCTGCCAGTTGAACGGGCTTAGCAGCAAAAAGGGCTTTGCACACTATTTCTCCCAAGTTTTCCTTAAAAGGGTTTGCTCTGCCTATCGTCCTTTTCTCTAAATGGTTTGTCATTAAGTGTTTATACTTAAGGCTGTCGGCAGTTTGCTGCCATTAAAGATGTTCAATACTTAAAAATCCTCCCAAACAGTTGTACTGCGCAGTCCCTTCTGACAAAGATCACAATGGGAAGTAATCTTGGTATGGGCCTGTAAATATTTGCTATCTTGCTTAAACAAGCTTAATTGAGCTTCGAGCTGGTGAACAGTTCAAAATCCGTTGCTTTCTGTTCCTCCCTGCAAGGTCATCCCACCCTACTTCTTTCTGCAGAAGAGAAACACATCTGTGTTACTTCTTCATTACACCCACAAATGTGCTAGAAACAACTGGGAAAGGATAACCCACTATGCCCTATTTCTCATTCATATAGACAAAATGTCATTGTTACATAAAGAAACAGCTGGGCACAGAAAGGAGTTTTCCCCTCAACTGCAGAGATAGTGGCTACAAATGTGGAGACATCAAGTAAAATAATTGCAATAAAACCCCAAAATACAGCAATTTTAAGAACAGACAAGGATGAATGGCATATAGCCTTGGGAGGCTGGGTGGGGCACAGCAGCCACCAGCAGGCGGTAGGGACGTGGCAGCAGTGAAGGAGGAGCTCCTGCAGGCAGCCACAGCAGTGTCGGTGCCAGGGGGTCGCGAGTTCCCGTCGGTCGGCAGACACCACCACACCACCAGCAGCATTGGCGGTAGCCAGTGGTAATTGGGGAATGCCCACAAATGGTGTCAGCGGTGAGGGCGGGGAGGGGGGTGAGCAGTGACACTTTTTGCCATGACATCAGGGCCAGCTGTGGCACTTTTTGCAGCGGGTGCACCGCCAGTCTCAGGGGGCGCACCCCTTACATGCCACCAATGCAGACAAGGTTATTTGGGTAAATCTGATATCCTTTATTAAACCAACTCAAATAGTTGGAAAAATATAAAAGCTTGCAAAGAAGAATTTTTCCAACTATTTGAGTTGGTTTAATAAAGGATATCAGATTTACCCAAATAACCTTGCTTCCCTCTCTCCTTAGACCAACACGGCTAGAACCTACACCCCTGTAACAGCTAAGAACAAGGTGTTTACTGGTCAAGTTCAGACTCTTGCTCAGACAACTCTACTTCAGTCTCATATACCAAGGGTTTTTAACCTTTTTGGGTCAGTGTATCCCTGGCAGCCAGTGGAGAAGGCAGGAGTCCCCTGGCAGCCAAACAAACAGGACTGGTGGGGGTCTCCCGCAGCTGATTGGCAAGCGTGCTGGTGGCAGCAGAAGTACCAGCAGTGGTGCCCGCTGCCAAGTACTCCCTGAGGCCATCCCAAGCACCCCCAGGGGATACCCCCAGTTGAAAACCCCTATCATATACTGTTAGAGGACTTGAAATGTAATGGTTGGCTATGATCAATAAGTGTAAAGTGTTTAGAAGAGGCATCTAAAGATAAATATTCCCTTTCGTCAGCTGATTCAGATCTGTTTTTCCCTTAAAAGGACAAGTGGTAAAATGCACTCAAGTCCTCAGTCATCCTTCCAAGTGCAGTCAAGAGATGCACTGAGTATTTTCCTCCTTTCATTCACTTTCAACCTTGAGAAAGCATCTACATGGGGGCTTAAACTAGCAAGAGTACATTGAACATTCTCACCACAGGGATTCTCAACCAGGGAGCCAAGGCTTCCGGGGTGCCTTGAAACACTTTCAGGCATGCCGTGGGGTGCCACAGGATGTTAGCACTATTTGGTGTGCAAATATGATTCACAAGATAAACCCAGAGTTACAATCATAGAAAATGAGGGTTGGAAGGGATGTCAGGAGGTCATTTAGTCCAATCCCCTGCCCAAAGCAGGACCGTCCCCAACTAAATCATCCCACCCAAGGCCATTTTTGTTGCCATTTGGTGTACTCCCTCCAATTTGTCCACATCCTCTCTGTAGTTGGGGGGGGGGGGGGGGGGGTGGCAAAACTGGACACAGTACTCCAGATGTGGCCTCACCAGTGCAAAACAGAGGGGAATAATCGTAGTTGTTTCATAGTTGTTATTAGGGGCTGGAAGGGACCTTACAGATAATTGGGTCCAGCCCCCACTGCACTTGGGCAGGAAAGACTGCTGGGAGCAGATGACTCCAGCAAGGTGGGTGTCAAGACGCTTTTTGAAGATCACCAGGGTGGGTGACTGGACCACCTCTGGGGGGGAGCCTGTTTCAAACCCTTGGCACTGGACTTGTAAAGAAGTTTTTCCTTATGTTTAGCCTGAAGTGATCCTCAATCAGTTTGTGCCCATTATTTCTTGTCCTCTCCTGGGGGCCTTGGTGAACAGATGCTCCCCCAGGCCCTGATGTACGCCCTTGACATACTTCCAGGCTGTCACCAAGTTCCCTCTGATTCTTCTCTTCTCCTGGCTGAACAGTCTCATGTTTTTCAGCCTCTACTCATATGACCTGGTCTCTAGGCCTCTAATCATGCACGTGGCCCTCCTTTGGGCTCTCTTGAACTTGTCCACTTCCTTCCTGAAGTGTTGCACCCAGAACTGGATGCAGTACTCTAGCTGCGGCCTCACTGAGGCCCGGTACATCACTTCCCTCGATCTGCAGGCAAGCTCTTACTAATGCAGCCCAGGATGCTGTTACCCTTTTTCACGACTGGGGCACACTGTTGGCTCATATTCAGCTTATTGTCCCTTATGTCCTGCACCAGGAGCACTCTGTGGCAATGTAGGAACCTCCTGATGTATAGTCACACTAAGCTTGAGCAAATGGACTGTGTTAAAACGTTTCTGAGCACAGTCCAGTCCTACTACTGGAAAGTGGACGGAGAGGACATAGTCAACTCCACCTGGAAAAGGGACACGTGGCACAGGCTGTTGAAAGCCCCCCCCGGAAGGGCAGTGGACAGGGAGAACGAAGGGGACAACGGCACAACTGGACCCGGAGACAGCGAGGGGGACGACAGGATCAGCCGCAGTGGAAGCGACATCGACAGTGACAAGGACAGAGAATGAGCAGAGAATGTAAACCCCAGATCGGGGCTTGCACTCAGGGGCTGCGTTTGGGTTAGGGAAGAGCAGAGGGTGGACGTGTGCGGGCGCAGCACGGGGCGGCGGCGAGGAGCCGCAGGCGGCGCGGGAACCC